CCCAGGAACTCAGCAGGAGTGGGAACTCCCTAGCTAAGTCTGCTTTGTGCATGGCAGGGACATTCATGGATTGGGGAAACCTAGGAGCACCTCGGGTCCCACAAATGTCTTCAAACTCCTCCATCAAAATGCCATAAGGTGTCTCACTAGTAGTCCCCATCCCTCCCAGCATTCTAGGAGCAGTGGGAGTAACAAGGACCACTGACCTAGGAGAGAATGGCTGTGAGAAGAAAAGCTAGGAAAAACAACAACAACAACAACAACAACAACAACAACAACAACAAGATAAAAGGGGCCAGCCAGATGCCTGAGGCTGCATGCTCCCCATGCATTCTTTTGGCTTCTGTAATCTTGTTTGCCTCCTGCCTCCACCAACTATCCATGTAGCACCACTGATAAGGACCCCTCTATTTTTCCATTGTCTCTCAACTGCCTAGCATCACAGCCAGATAAGGAGGTGAATGCCAAGGTATGGGGCTCAGCCTTTGGAGGTGACTGTGCTGGGGTGTCATGGGTGCACAATAAACAGTGTTTCTGATTCCCTGAGTTCTGTGGCTTGTCTCTTTCTGGGCAGAGTATTTGCTGTAACAGCTGGACTTCATATTGTTCATGCTAAATAAGAGGTGATACAAAAAGGAGGTCAGGAGGCACAGAGAGAAAGAAAGTGCCGCCTCTTCTGAACACACAGGCAGCCCGCCATTGCACTTCCCAGAGTGCAGGAACTTCAGGGTATTCAGTGTTTCTCCTGCCGCCAGAGAACACAGCCACCTTGTCCCTGTTGACAAGTTTCCTGTGATCTAGGGGCAGATCTCATGAGATCTATGGCCAAATTTGGCAAGATCTCTTCCAACCTCCTGGGAACTTGGCAGGAGCGGGAACTAGGTAGCATAACCTCTTTTGTGCAGGATAAAATAGTAGAGTTGTGATATGCCTGGGTTGGGGACACCTTGGAAAACCTGTGGTCCCACAATAGACCCTGCCATGTCACCAGCACCAAGACACAAGGTGTTGTGTTCATATTTCCTGTCTGTCTCGGCATCCTAGATGTGGTGGGTGAAACACCTGGCCACAGAAACAGGGGCTGCTGGACCAGACTATCCTGTTATTCCCAGTAAAGTAGAGGCACAAGACACAGGAGAGAAGGAGGAGTGGGGTGAAGCACAGTGCACAGAAATTGACTCTTGTGAACACAGAAAAAGTATCGCTGAGCGCTGTCCTAGGCCATGGACACTTAAGTGCAGTCTGTGTTCATTGTGACTCGAAAAGATGCAGCCACCTCTGCTCTGTTGACCAATCTTATGAGATCCCCAGGCCAAATCTCATGAGATGTCAGGCCAAATATAGCCAGAAGGAGGCAGGCATGAGAACTCGTTAGTGTAGTCACCTTTATGAAGTGTAAATAGGCAGGTTGGGACACTCCTGGTTTGTGGACTGCTACCAACACCCAGGGTCCCACAAACAATCCAAGGCCACCACCAAAAGAATATGAGGTCCCTGGCTCATACTTTCCAACTCGTCCAGCATTCTAAGAGCAGTGGGGGTAAGAACCACCACTAAAATAGGGAAGACTTGGCCTGGTGGCCCTTTATTTCTGTGAAGCTAGAGGGGATTGAAACGGGAGGTGAGGAGGCATAGGGGGAAGGAAAGTGCACAGGATCTGGCTACTCTGAACACACAATAAGCCCTCATTGATTCTCCTGGGCTATGGAACCTTCAGGGCAGTCTGTGTTTCTTCTAATCTCAGAGCAAACGGCCAACTCTGTCCTGTTGATAGATGTCATGAGATCTAGGGGCAAATCTCGTGAGATCTTAGGTCAAATATGTAGAGATCTTGGGCCAAATCTTACAGGAAGTTGCGGCAGCCACAATTTCCTTGCTAGCCCGGTTTGTGCAGGGGAATTAGGGAGGGTTGTAATATTCCTGGACTGGGGACACCTAGGAAAACATGGGGTCCCACAATAGCCCCCTCCATGTCACCAGCACCAAGAGACAAGGGGGCTCCTTTGAACTTCCTCTGTCTCTCAGCATTCTCACTACCCAGAGATCATGACCTGAACAGAAACAAAGAGTGGGGTGCTTAAGTGTAAGTGAACATAGATATATGTAATTATTTCAATTTAACTGGCTAACTGGGCTGGAGTTGCAATATTTACACTATACTTACAGTCAAGTGGTTTATAAGAGTTTTTGTACTTGAAAACAATTTTAAGAGGCACTTAATTGATTTCTCAACTACCAATCGTTTAATTCATACTGTCATATATCTTAATGTAATTTCTTTAAAAGTTTTTAATGTTTATTTTTGAGACAGAGGGAGACAAAGCGTGAGTGGGGGAGGGGCAGAGAGAGAGGGAGACACAGAATCTGAAACAGGCTCCACGCTCTGAGATATCAGCACAGAGCCCAATGTGGGGCTCAAACCCACGAACCATGAGATCATGATCTGAGATGAAGTCGGACGCTCAACCCACTAAGCCACCCAGGCGCCCTGATACTGTCATATATCTTAATAATATATGTCTGTAAGCTCACTAATTCTTATTTTTAACTTACTGTTTTACTAATTCTTCTAATTAAAAGTCAATGATAATTCACTTAAAATATTCATATATATTCATTAAACGTCATATTCATTAATATGTATAAATCACACACAAACACACACATAGATTTTTACTCTTCTTATTTCCTTCATAAATGTGTACTGGAGGGAGAAAATTTTCCTTCAGCTCAGGAATTACCTTTTGTATATTTTGTGGTGCATATCTAGGGAAGTATTTTCTATGTTTTGTGGGACATAGTTTCTCACAGATCATTACTTAAAAACCCTTGCCTTTAAAACAAGGAATGAGTGTAAAGGCAGATATTTTAGGCACTCTAGACCTGGCTGATAACATGCTCCCATGTGCATTTCTTTGTTCCCTTTCCCCTTTATCACCCCTTGTGCCATTGGTTGTGGAAGTACCTGATATCCTCAGGAGGGAGATGGGACAAATGGAGGAATTCTGGGTTCCTGGATGACCACATGAAGAAGTTTAGTCTCCAATCTAAACACGCACCCAGCACTGTCATGTGAGGGAATCTATGGGGACAAGCTATTGAAATTTGGCGCGTTCTCTGGTAATTCAGCATAACTAAATATACCTACAAAATGTTAACCTTCAAGATAACTTAGAAATCAGTCTAGTTCCATTAAAATTGGCTGTTTCAGTCAGTAGGGCATGAGACTCTTGATCTTGGAGTGTGATTTTACACCCCAAGATAGAAGTGTAGTAGACTGAAAAAACATAAAATAAAATAAGTATTGAAAAATTACCCAAGTAAATCAGGCTATAATGACTGGGCTGCTAAATGGTGGGATGGATCCCCTGGGAATGAACATCTGAGCATTCAGATAGTGCCAGTGCTGGTAAGGCAGTCAGGCCTTCCCTCTAGGAGCTCAAGATCTAGACAGGAAGATGGAAAGGACATGAAACAAAAATGTGAATGACATGAGCAATGACTCCATAGAAAAAAATCAAGGTGCTAAACAGGGTCCTGAGCTCCACCAGGTGAGGGTCTGACAAGTCTGTGCTGAGGAAACATTAATACCTCCTGCAGCAGTGCAAGAATGAGTCAGCCCTGCACAAATCCGAGTATATGTAGCCTGGCAGAAGGCACAGTGGTGCAGACCCTCGGAGGCAGAGGTCGGTGTTGTCAGGGTGGACATGTGAAAGGATACCAGGGAGACCGGAAAGAGCTGGGGAGGAGAGCAGAGAGGGAGGGTGAGGAGGGCAAGGGCCTGGGGCAGGAGGACATTTTCAGTACTCTGCTCTAGTGCTGTGTGACAATATTCCCTCACCCTAATGGCTTCCCCATAAACTTACCATCTCACAGGCCCAGAGGACCAGGAATTCAGCAGTGCTCACCTGAGGGCTCTTGCCAGAGCCTCTCAGGACATTGGGGCTGCTATCATCACTGAGACAGAACCTGCTTCACTCAACCCCTGAGCTCACTTCAGGGTGGTGGCAAGCTTAAGTCCACATTGAATGCCTTAGTTCTTCCCTGTATGTTGTTGTGTCTCAGGGCTAGGCTGTGTGTACTGTCTGTGTCATTACTCAACACAGGGGTTGTTCCCCAGTATGAGGATCTGAGAGACAACACAGAGAGTGACAGTGAGTACGTGGCTGTGTCATGGACATTTTATCACCAAAACTTGGGTGGTTTGAGGGGTCACATTGCCATCTTCTTTGGAACAGAAATCAAACACTAAGTCCATACCACACTCCAGGGAGGAAATTACACAAGGATGTGTTTACAGGATGTGGGGATCCCAGGGAGCCACTGAAGGGAGGAGAAAGTGAAGACCTTGCCAGGGTCAGTGCCTTGCCCAGAACCAAAGACTGGTAAAAAGTCCGAACCAGGCATGAACCCAACTCCATGTCCTCAAAATGGGGTCCTTGACTTGACCCAGGTTTTCTGAGGGGGCTCTGGAAAAGGTTGTGTTACTGTAACTGTGTGCAGACATGGATGTGACGTGGGGGTGAGGCTGAAGAGGAGTGTAACAGGAGGCATTCCAGCATGTTCTTCCCTGAGGAGCACTCCAGGCTATGGCAACCCACTGAGTACAACCCTGTCCCCACTGTACCCAGTGGAATGGGAGGGAATGGCTCATGGCACAGAACTAACAAAGTCTAGGTAAATTGAGTTCTGCCCTACTAGACCACAACTGCAATCCCATCTGTAGGGATTGCTTTAGAAATTAGAGAACCTAAGCTCTTAAGAAATTTTTGGCCATCCTTCCCTAGGTGGGGATGTTATCTTCTGGAGCTCCAGAAAATGAGCACTGGTAAACACACATACACGCACACACACACACACTTGCACGCACACACGTACGCACACACGTATGCACACTTGGGATCAGAGGAGCAGCAGAATCAGAGGAGGTAAGAAGTTGAAGTAAATGTGGTTGGATAAATTTCCAATGGGTGACACCACTCCTCCAATTTCACTGGTATCATCCCACATATGCCTGAGGACATCCTGAGGAAGTACATGCTAGAATTATCTCCATTGGGCAGAAAAGACATGGACCATACCTGAGAAGCACAATCGCGAATCTGGGACCAGAAAGAGGTAAGAATGAAGAGTTATGTCTCAACCCAGATATGTCTCACAGCTAGGACCCTGGCTGTCCCCATACCTTTCCAGGGGGCTATGGAGAGGGGTGCATTGGTGTAACTGTGGACCGATGTGACAGTTCATGGAGAAAGGGGTGAGCAGTCAGCAAATAGAGAACTATTTGCATAGGTGTTATCCCAGGAGGGGACTCAGGAGGTGGATCATAGGCAATGCCATCACTTTGCTCACAATAGGCCACAGGAGAGCTTGGGACTCCTGTAACCTGGCACCCATGTTCTAGTAAGGTCCCATACCAGGCTCACTTGTGTGCAGACACAGAGAGTTTGGGATGTTCTCTTGTTGTTTTCCCAGGTACCGGGGCTCTGGATACCAGAAACCCCAGTGTGCAGTATCATTTGGATGTTGGAGAGGGTTACTTAACCCACGCTGGTGATGTCTCAGGATGTTTTCCAGGAGGTCACATAAGGTAACACAGAGCACCTAGAGCATGGCAGGTCAGGTCAGGTCAGGTCACAGCTCTGAGCCATTTCTGGGCACCCCTATCCCCTCGTGTTCAGTTCCAGGGAAGGGGGACATGTGAGGCGCTCCTCTCCTGGACTGGAGGAGGTTGGATGGCAGTGGACGACCTGGTGGACCCATCATGGCCATGCAGATGTCATGCTGGGAAGGAGGGAAAAGGGATCTCTGAGATGCCTCTAACTGATTACAGGTTTAATCCAAGGCCCTCAAACCACATTGCTTCTCCTCCTTGGGGGAGGTGTGTGCACACTGTGGTGTCATATCTGGAATGAATTCACATGGGTCTGAGGACAAGCAAAAGCAAGCAGACAGGGCTTTGAGGACTCCTGCCTGCCTGCTGGGCACTGTCTTTACAGAGCCACATGCCACAGATGGAGGAGAAGCTGAATGATGAGAGCCCCTGCTCTACTTCCCTGAAGGACAGGAAGAAGACCCATACCATCAGGAGGATGCTGCGCTGGCTCAGCATGAGTGCAGGTACCAGGGAAACCCAACACCTAGGACCCACAGACAATGAAAAGAATACCAGGGCACAGAAAACACACTACTACTCCCCCGGTATCTCTTGTAGACTCCTGATGCCAGATGAACCTGGAGCCCCATGTGCTCCCCAAACATGACCTCATGGCCCAGCCCCTGCCATGGCCAGATGCAACGTCACTCTCCACTTATTTGTAGGAATATCAGAAAAGAGATGTGAAACCATTTCATGTCCGATTCTGTCTAGAATATATTGGCATTGTCGTACATGTTTCCTCAACAACTGTTCCCAGGTGTCCTGGTTCTCCTGACCATCCTTCCACAACTTCTCCATGTCTGACACATGTTCATGATGAGCAGGGAGATTTTTACCCAAAGGGCATGGGGCTCATGGTATTATGTCTACTGCTCTGCACTTTGGTTGCTAAGGAACACACCCCTGGCCCCTCTAGATCAGGAGCAAGGGCCTTACCACCGAGACTACATTCTGGAAATGAGATGACTTACCTCACCCATTCAGCCCTTCACAAATGCGGGACTGTGACATGATTCCCTTCTGTTGCCATGTCACAGTGCTGCACTGAACATCCTACATGTCCTATTATCCTGACCCAACCTCTGCCAGGTAATGTCCCTGTCTTCTGGTCCCTAGAATGGGCTGTGCTGTTAGAAATCACAGGGACAATGCTGTTAATGAAGGGAGGTGCTGTCCATACTCATCTAAGAATCTGACCTGATATCCTAACATGTTCAGTCATTCCCCACCTCAAATTCTCGTGTGAATGCCAAGATCCTTTTTCCTACTCTGGGCACCCAGGTCTCATGCTTGCCACAAGTCACTGGGGTCTGGGGGTTTGGTCTGCATTCTGGACTCCAACCCTCCTGTTGGCCATAGTGCTGTGTCTGATTCTGTGTCCTTCCTGTGTTCTACCTCAGGGTACAAAGGTCACACCTGGGAATGAGAATGAGAACTGTGTGGGGTGGACCATCGAGGCAGGCCTGCTGAAGCAGCGAGTGGAGCACATCGTGCCTGCCTTTCTGGGGAGAGACCCCACGTACGTCTCCACATTCATGGGCATGTACACAGCTTTTGCTACCACCCAGAAGGTCCTGGAACTGTTGTTTATGAGGTGAGCACCTTGCCCTTCACAGCCCAGTGTGATTCAGCCCCTTAAAGCTTTATGTCTAAGGAAAGTCACCAAATGTCCTTGAGTCTCACTTTGTTCCTCTGATCAGAGTAGAATAACTCCAGGTACTCAGTGGGGGCAATGCAGGGAAAGTCACCCTGGCCCTGCGGAAATGTCTGCTGGCAGAGCTGTCTGTGCTGGGTGATCTTTGTCCTCTTCCCCATGATCAAGTTTCTGCCTCATCCCTCACTGTCACCAGGTGTTGTGTTGTGCTGTTTCCCCATTTGAAAAGGAGATTGGAGGTTCTATCTGTGTGTCTGAGTCCTGGGTCAAACCAGTCAAGGATGCCCAGGATAAGCAGCAGGCCCAGACCCACACCAATATGTGTGATGGAGCTGATTGGGGCCCTATCATTCATCAAACATACAGGAAGCCCCACTACATGCAGGCATGTCTGTAGGAGCTGACTGGGATCCAATGCACAGAGCAGACAGCACCCTCCCCTTCAGAGCTCCATTCTAGTCAGCAGTCAGTGACTCTGGATATGACAAGAGGTAGTATCCACAGGACACCTGATATGATGCCCTTATGGCCTCCTCCAGATATGACTGCTTCCTTCCTGAGACTGAGGAGGATGGCGGACCCTGGGAGCAGGAGAAAATGTGAGTAGGCTGAGCTCATGCTGGAGGGCCTTCCTTCTCCAAGATTGCAGTGCTGAGACTGTGCATGGGAGGGGCTGCAGGACCCAGCATCCCACACATCTGAGAGTCCTGTGAGAGGACAAAGATCTGAGGGCTTCTCCTTGGGAGCAAGGAAAGGGTTCTTGTCCTGTCTGGTAGAGGATGGGCTGTGGGCACAGTGAGACAGCAGACAGTGCCAGAGGAAAGCATCAGCCCCTTAGAGAGTCCAACCCCATCCCTTTCCCACTAACAGCCTTGCATCCGCCCCCATCAGGGGACCCAGATAAAGGTTTTGGGGAACACCACGCTCACCACCTTGTAGAACGTCAACAGTGTGTGCTTAGCAAGAGTTCAGGAGACACAGTGAGGGCTCAAGGAGCACATATCACCCACACTATGGGAGACCAGTGTCAGTGGGAGGACACCCACATGTGCACTGAGTGAATGAGGCAGCATAGAGGCACAGGTCGTCACGTTGAAGGTATGAGGAGGGTCCCAGCAAGCCCAGGTAAGAGACAGAGTCCCTTTGTCCCGTATTTGTTCAGATTTTCATGGAGCGCTAAGGTATGCAGTGAAGGCACTGACTCATCCTGACACCACCCCTCCACTCATGCACGGAGTTGAATTCTAGTGGGAGGTAGGCAGGGGGACACACTGAGGAGTCTGGCTGGCTTCCCCAAGAAGGACAGACTTGGCCACATCATTGGTTAAGGGGTTCCCGTCAAACAGAGTCTTGACAGTCCCTCTTCAGTGACCAGGACTCTCTTAGGCAGGACTGCCAAATCCCAGGTGGACAAGGTAGAGAACCACCCTCTGTACATCCAGGAGCAGGAGTATAGAGGTCAGGTCCCACAGGGCTGTCCTGAGACCTCAGTGCAGGAGGAACACCCCATGTTGATTGTTCTGGCTACTTTTGTATCCCCAGAGCCATGTCTTCCATCCTGGGCACCTGGCTGGACCACTACCCAGAGTACTTTTTCCAGCCCCCAGAATTCATCAGCCTGAAGATGCTGCAGGAATATGTATGGGTCCACATGCTGGGCTCCGAACTGCAGCACCACACCCGCCTTCTCTACTCATTGTGGAGAAACCATGAGCTCAATGAGCCAGAGTCTCTGGGTGAGGAGGACTCTGGGTGGGAGATGTGGGGATGTGGAAGTGACAGGGTATGCCACACAGAGCACGTTTTCTGAGACTGCGGGTGGGCTAGGAGTTGTGAGTAGTCTCAGATCACTGTTCCATTAGCCTGCCATCTGGGAGATTTCCTCCTGGTGGGTTCTTTGACTCAGTTGACAATGTCTATGGGAGAGGTTTCCTTTATTTGGAAGGGCCATGGAATGGCAATCACGGTGATGACACTTTCTATTCTTGAAGCTATGACACAAGCTTGAAAGCAAGATCCAGACATCACTCAGGAGCTAGCCCCCGCTATCTCTGTCGTGCCCACTTCAGCTTCACAGCACAGGTTGCCTGAAGCCACCACTCATCCTGGAGCTCAGCAATTAGAAGCAGTGACGCTCCCTGCAGAGTCACCACCAGTGCAGGTGGTAGTCCCAGCTCTGCTTCACTGTCAGGAGCTGGAAGAGCCACCTGCCCCTTTGGTGGACTCACAACCTGAGCAGCCTCCAGCCCCAGCTGGTGGGGTCACGGAAGGGCTGGAGCAACCACCTGATGCAGCTGAGCAACCAGCCTCTGCTCCCGAGCAGTGGCTCATGTTGGCTGCAGCCCCAAACGATGAATTCCCTGACCCTGTCATTGTGTTCTTTGTAATTTTTGTGATTTTTATAGAGGTATTTACTGTCTTAGGTATTGTTTTATAAATAAAACATAAATTAACTTCAAAAAAATTTACTCTGATCCTTTTAATTTACAAATTCAAGTCTCATTACGTACATTCACAGGATTTTATACCCATGACCACTATGTACTCGAACATTTCCATCACACAAAAACGTATACTACTAATCACCCACAGTTCATTCCCTCACCCCAGTACTCTGCAACCACCTATCTAGGTTTCTGCTGCTTTAGCTCCTCTAAAATTTTCAGGTGTGTGCAAACACACAACATTTCTTGCTGTGTCTGGCTACATAACATGAGAGTGATTAATAATTGGTTAAATATTTAATGAAACTAACATTTTTATGACAGAGGAATATTACCCAAAGGACAAATATTATGTGAAGCTCCTACTTGAAATATCTTCATTATCTGGCATGGGGACCCTTTGAGATTTGACACAAGAGCAGAAGCCAGAAGAGAAATGTCTGGTCCAGAGCGATACCTTGAAAATCTTTCATTTCCCTGGACAGGCCATGTTGATATCGGTCTAATGTGCATATTATAAAATACCCAAATGAAATATTCAATATACCATTTATGCTAATCTATTAGGCAATAAAGTCTAAAGTTCTTAAAGGTTTTCTATAAGTGACGTTTAAGTAGTAAAATTAAGATTTAAATAATGAGGACAGGCACCAAGGTGGCTCAATCGTTTGAGTTTCCGAGTTGAATTTGGCTCAGGTCATTATCTCATGGTTCTTGAGATCAAGACCCAAGTCAGGCTCTGCAATGACAGCTTGAAGCCCTGGTCAGGATTCTCCTTCTCACTCTTTCCAAATAAATAAATATGAAAAAATAAATAAATACGGAGAAAAAATTTATATTCTTCAAAGAAATAATTGCCCATAAGACATGGTGTCATCTTCACAGTCCTTTTGCTTTGAGTGTAGCAGGTGTCTGTGTTTGTGTCTACGAGTGGTGTGATAGGTTGGGCGTGTAAGGATCCAGGACTATGGTCTTGTAGTACGTGATGTCCCCACAGTGGGCAGGCACAGTCCTGTCCCCTTCTGCATTCTCAGTGGCCACACATCATCATTTACTCTGTGTTTCCAGAAGCTGAATGACTGGGCCCATTCCAATATTTTGACTCTCATCATTGTACAAAAGGGTACATCTGTACCACAAATCTCTCTTTCTTTAGGCATGTACACCGAGCACAACTTTTGGAACATTATTCATATCCATTGTTTGGGTGCTGCCTCCACTTTCAAATATCTACAGACTCTTTATACATTGGGGCCTTATGTGAAAAGCAGGGACCCCTGGGACTGAGTGGACACCTGAAGAAATAGGAGGACAAGCCAGCACTGAGGCCATCAGGGTACCTAGGAGTGACCCATGGGGCAGGAAAGAAACCACACTCCCTCATTCTGACCTTCTGCACAGCGTCCCTGCCCCATGTCCTGGAACACACTCATCCAGGCCCCATCCCATGACAAACCCCAGCCACCTGTGCACCTCCTGTTCCATAGCTCTGCTTCTCAGTAGAGCAGCCAGTCCCTGCTTTCAGGCCAGTGGAGGATGCAGGCTGGGCCACTACTGTCTGCTTGCTGGCCCTCCACCCAGGCTGGGTCCCTTACTCTCAGGAAAGTACCTGTAAGTGCAGGTCAGGTCAATGAGTTAAAGACCATGACCTGAAT